GTGACATGTTGTTAGCCCAGAGGTTTACATACATTTTAAAAACCAAGACTTGAATGTTTAATGATGTATGTCATGTATGTTTAAATGATGAAGTACTTGTGTGTCATCAGTTTAGGTGGAATGGATTGACCTATTATTATGACTTGGATATTGGATGTGGTATCCCAGATGGTTTCTAGGGTGTTGTTGATAGCTGGTTGCTATGGTATTCCAGGTGTTTACAAGGTTGATGCTAGCGGCTGATTGATTATGGGCAGGGGGTAATATCTTCAGTGTATCTCAATTGACAAATGCATAGCTCGTACAGGAATTAGAAAGCCAGACCTTCCAGTAATAAAATAATAAAATTGAATAAAACTCGGATTACAATAATATTACAGATTGCTTTGCTTTGCAATGTGTAATTGCTAATAAAACTTTGAACCTTTGGGTGCAGATGAGGTAACCACGGAGCGAAAGTTTTGATACATGTGGATATACATTGTGTGCTTTAGACAGGATGCTACTATTCGTCATACAGAAGGTGCTACATGTAAGGTAAATGTGAACTTTTTTCTGCAAGGCTGGTCTTTTGTGAGATCTTGTTGGGGAGACAAAGGTAAACCATGAAAGTGGTAAAGTTGTATAAGGGGGATAGAAGAATGAGACTACCAAAAAGGAAGACAATATGTGCAAAAATATGTGCAAAATTCTCACGTGTGTGTACAGTGAATATACAAAGTCTACACACAGCTGTTAAAAATTGCAAGTTTTTTTAATGTAAATAATGAACCCAAAAGAAATCATGTCAGATCTTTTTCCACCTTTAATGTGATATAGAAAAAAACAAAAACAAAATTCAAGTGAAAAACAAATAGAAACCTTTTAGGAAAAAAAGAAAAAATTACAATAACCTGTTGCATAAGTGTGCACACCCCTCAACTGACTAGAGTCCCAGTCCCAGCTGAAGAGAAGCAGCCCCCTAACATGATGCTGCCACCACCATGCTTCACTGTGGGTATGGTGTTCATTGGGTGATAAGCTGTCTTGTTTTTGTGCCAAACATATCTTTTAGAATTATGCCCAAAAACTTCCACATTGGTCTTATCAGACCAGAACACATTTGCCACATGGTTTGGGTGATTTAGGCAGGCTTGGATGTTTTCTTTTTTAGTAGTTTTTTTTCTTCCGTCTAGCCACCCTACCTCATAGCCCAGAAATGTGAAGAATATGAGAGATTTGTTATCACATACAGGGAGTGACCAGTACATGTCAGTTAATCCTGCAGCTCCTTTAATGTTGCCGAGGATCTCTTGGCATACTCCCTGATAAGCTTTCTTCTTGTCCTTTTGTAAATTTTGGAAGGATGTCCTGTTCTTTTTAATGTCACTGGTGGCCCATTTTTTTATACCTTCTGAAAATAAGAGCCCGTACATGCTTTGTAAGCTCTTTGTGGACCATGGCTGCACTTGTGGGATAAAACCAAGATACAAAAACAGTGGATTTTTATTTGGGGTTAAGCAGAATCACTTAACTGATGCATGATAATTACTTTTGAACATGAGTTTGAATGTGATTGGTTAATTCTGGCACAGTCACATGCCCCATTACAAAAAGGTGTGCACACTTGTACAACCAGGTTATTGTAAGTTTTTTTTTTCTTTTTTCCTCTAAAATTTTCCATTTTTTTTCACTAGGATTTTGTTGGTTGCTATATCACATTCATATGTTTGTTTCATTTTTTTCATCACACAAACTTGAAATTTTAACAGTGATGTGTAGACTTTTTATATCCACTGTATGTGTCTGGTTGTGCATGTTTATAGGGAAAGGAAGAGGGAAGCTTCCAGACTTTGGCACCAGTTAAATCCAGAGGAACAGAGAGAATCTTTCTACAATCATAATGACAGAATCAACCACAACAACAGCAACAACAACACCTGCAGCAGCAGCAGTAGACAGGAGAAACATCCAAGGTACTCTTTAACTCAGTCTGTACCTAGCATTTGGCCTTTCACAGTTAGCATTCTGCGAGCTGCATGCAGGTATGGCACTTAATATCAACTTAAACACACACAAACCCTAGTAGACACAACAACACTAATAATTTTGCTAACAATTCTATAACAATCAGACCAGCTCTCATTAAGTGTATCTCTCTGTTTCATAGGTGTCATCAGAAAAACAACCCTGATCCTCTAACCATCCACCACTCACAGCCTACCCTGGGACAAATGCCCCCACCACTGCTCTGTGTATAACCAGATACATTAGAAGTACCATACAACCACATATGTCACACTTTCCACCTATTTTCTGTGGAGGGATATGACCCTGGAACTTGGAGCAATCACCATAGAACTGAGCTATACCAACAGCATCAAGCACACATGAGGGTGCAAAGACTGGGCAGAAACTGGAGGAGCCACTTTGAAAAGGGAAACACCCACAAGCCCCACAAATCTGGGGTGTATCTGTATAAAGCTTGTTCAGCAGCAATGATTGGTGAACCATTAATATACTTAATTTGAATCAACATTGCTGTGTTTTTACAATGAACTTTGGGTCCTTTAGTTTGTAATTGTTGTACCATGTGATGCAAACTTGATATTTGGCTATGATAAAGAAAAAAACCCAGGGGGAAACATAGCTGCTCTTGTAATCTAAACTAGATTTTAATCATAATCTACACACACCTGGGTATTGTTTTGAGAGGCTTCAAAATTACACTATATGGCACATATGTGCTTGTTGAACATCCTATTCCAAAGGAATGGCATTAATATGGAATTGGTCCCCCACTTGCCGCAGCAACAAGCCTATTCTGGGAAGGCTTTCCACTAGATTTTGGAATGTTGCTAGGGGATTTGTGCCCATTAACCCACAAGAGTATTAGCAAGGTTGGGCACTGATGTCGGGTAAGGAGGCCTGGTGTGGAGTCGGCATTCCAGTTGAGTTGAGTGCTTCCAAATCAACCTTGGCAAACCATGTCTTTATGGACCTCACTTTGTTTTGAGGGGCATTCTCATGCTGGAATGTGTTTGGACCTCTTAGTTCCAGTGAAGGGAAATCATAATTCTACAGCGTGCAATGACATTCTAGACAATCAGGTGCCTCCAACTTAGTGAAAAAAGTTTGGGGAAGCCTTACATATACGTAGGGGTCATGGTCAGGTGTCCACATATAGTGTAGTATGGCATTTTACTTTTTGAAAGTCATCAATCACTAAAAATATAAGGGTAAGTGTAGTATATTACTATCAGTGCAGGTGCAGTATCCTGATAGATCTGACATCTTAATAATAATTCTTTATATATCATATATTTTAAACAGAAAGAGAGAAAAAAGTGAAAATGTCAGCTACAAAAACTAGACTACAGATTGATTTATATTTCTTTGTGCATAACATCTAGACTAAGGCATAATTTAGAATAGAGTAGAACATGCTCATCTTTGTATATACATCAGCAACATGGTGGAAACTAGTCATTGTAGCCTAATATTATATACCAATACTACTACTGCTAATGCTAATAATAATAATAATAATAATAATAATAATAATAATGGTGATGATGATGATTTATGATAGTTTTTTTAAGGGGTGGCAATAATTTTTGAGTGTAAACCATTGCTTGGCCTCCTTGCTAAGCCCTAAAGATGGGACTGGTGGTCCCTAAGACCAAACTGAACACTTTAAAGATATATTGTCCAGTGCTGTGGCCCCCAAACTAAAATTTCCTCTGTGATGGTTGTCTATGCCCAGTTATAAGACACAAGTGAAGACTTAACTTTTTCCCCTCAACATTTGTTAAATAGAATGTACTGTACATTTTATAGCAAACATGGCATTTAAAACATATGTATCACATAATTAATGTTAGAGAATTGACTTTATGAATCTTGGGTCATTTGGGTTTTTCTGTCATGGGTGCTCTGTGAATGTGGAGGGTCAGAAAAATCATAAACCCTTTGAGCATACTCTTCCAATTTTATATCAGTAGCAAAGCTTTTGCTGCAGTATTCAGTGCTATTTGCAACTGTTTGTCCTCATTGCTTTACCTGTTGCTGACAGTCAGGCAAAGGCAACCGATTCAGTGGAGGTTGGTTTGCTTCAAATTGCACAGATTCACAACTTTATTTAAGCTGCATAGTTTCACCAGTTTGCAAAACCAAACAGGAGAGAAATTGTATGTGTATTTTAAATAATATTGTGGAAGTGGCCTATTAAAAATGTGCATTAGCTTCTTAAACATACTAACAACTTTAGCACTCTGACTGATATTGTATTGTAATGCATTGTATTGATATTGGATCAACAAGCAAAATTAAAAATAAACTTCATGGAATTTTTTGTGTGCATGATTTTTTATACTGAGTCGGGGAGAAATACTCTATAACATTGAGTTACAGTGAGATTGAATAGTAATGCACAGTCATAATTGTGTCAGTGGTGACAGGTCAGATTTAACATGATTGGCATATGATTGGCATACATCATACTGCCAACCTGAACACATCAAATGTCATCAAGTTTTGGCAACAACGTGACTGGCTGTAAGTGGCAAAAACCATAACAGGTGTGTGTTTTCTGCCAGTGCATCATGCGCATGCATGATCATCAAAATTCATCCTATAGAATTGTGTGCTTATAGCATTGTGGCAACAGTTGGGGGAAGACGCACATATGAATGTGAGGGTCAGGTGTCCACAAACTCAACAGACTCAACAAACTCACAAAAGCTCAGCAGAAGAGAGCACTAGAAGTGCTTTTCATGTATGAGATCCACGGTTCATTCGGCAACCTTGCGGCAACCTTGCGCAGAGATGCGCACGTTCTCCCTTAGCTCTTTGACTGATAGCATCGCACCAGGTATTTTCTGTGCCAGCTTTGGCTCACAATGGTGTTTTATGGTCCTGAGTATGTCTCAGCAGGGTCAATAATCTTCTGTATACTGTATACTCGTCTTAGTGGCTCTTTGTCTTCTTTGGCTGTATGTCATCAGGCCCGTACGCGTTGTGGCATGATGGCCAAATGGCACAGCGTCGGTCTCGTAACCCGAAGAGCACGGGTTCGATCCCCGTTCATGCCTTACGGCAGCCTCACGCAAAGATGTGCACGTTCTCCCTACGTGGCGGTAACGGCCTGTCCCTTTGGGAGAGGCCAAAATACTTTGCCGTTGATTTTCCACTCATTCACTACAGGGAATCATGAACCAGAAGTTTTGGCTCATTTGGAGCTCTATTGAGGAATGACGGCCAAGTTGCAAGGCGTCTAAAAACGGAAGACGCAAATAGCTTTTTGCTGTT